ACTGAGATAAATGCAGGCAAAACAAGTGAGGGATTAAACACTAAAAGCTCACAGGCTGCAAATGGGCTTTCTGCTTTTATTTGTCGAGTTTTGTTTCATGAGGGCAATTCACGAGGATATTTTGTGAGATTGAGCCTGTCACTATGCATGGGGAGCAGCAGCTGGTTCATCCCTGCTCCAGCCGTATCCTGTGGGGCTCAAACCACCTTAGGTACGTGGAAGCAGGTGGTTTGGCTTGGAGCTGGGCAAGGGAGCCCCAGGGGCACCAAGGAGGATGGAGATCTACTAATTACTCGCTTATTAACACCTAATTAGTATCTCTCCACTTCCTCCGCTCTCCCAAGGGCTCTGCTTCTGGCAGGAGTTACCTTATACCCAGGCACACCCCAGGGGATGATTTTCCACCTCGGATCCATCCTGGCACTGGAATGTCTTGCGGCTCCTGGGGCTTTGTAGCAGACTTCTCAGCATCACTCACGATAATTAGCAAATATGTAGAGATTTCTTCTCTGGAACATCAGGATGAGCAGGGATCCCTCCCCACGGGGCAGGCACAGATGTCTGCGAGCTTTCACAGCTGGCTCCAGCAGCAGTGGTGTGCCAGGAACAGCCAGGGTGCCCAATCCCAGCCATGCCAGATCCTGGGTGCTGCAAGGGCTCCAGCCTTCTCCCAGCATCTGCACTGCTGGTGAGTAACTCCCTTTGGCAGGCAAAGATTACCATCCCTTTGGCTGCCCCTGTCCCAGAGCAGTCCCCTGCCCTCCCACCCACACCTGCTCCCCTCTGTCCCCAGACCGTTTGGTTTGGGTTGAATCCAGCTGGAATCTGGATGCTCCTGTTGTTCCTCTTGCTCCAAGCAGAGGCTGCTGCCTCTGGGATGGGGTCCCAGGATGGGAAAGGCTCAAACCAAACCACATGCAATGACAGGACCCCACTGCCAAGAACTGAAGCCCCAGGCACCTCCCCTACACCAGGCATGCAGGAAATTTGGGGGCCGGTGCTTACTGACAACATGGATGCTGTAATGTGGCAATATTAAATTACCTGTATTATCAGATGATTAACCAGCTGAATTCCAGCCTTGGGGCTGCCATCCTGAAGTCCATGCAGGGCTTGCTAGGCAGCATCCAGGCATCCCACTGTGTCCACTTGGGACCAGCAGCCATCCCACAACTCATGGGCTCTGAAAATGCCTTGCTGGAAGGACTGAGGGACCATCATCAGAGGAAAACACACCAGCTGTCTGAAACACGGGCAAGACACCTCCAAAATTGTTTCCTGCTATTCTGAACTCCTGTCAAGGCGGCTGCCAAACCCAGGGAAGATACACCACATGGCCCAGGACAAAGTGGGCACTCTTTGCTGCCCCAGCTGCTCTTGCATGGCCAGCTAAGATCTAAAAGGGGTTTTGATTTGCATTCTCCTGGCTCACAAAATCTCCCCACTGCATGGAGCTTGCCTGCTTTAGGGCACCAGAGTGTTTAGCATCTGCTTAAAATTATTAATTGTTTTCATGTAAGTGCCTGAAGATGCCTTTTAAATAGAAATGGGAGGGATTTAGATTTCTCTCCCTCCCTGTTTCCCCCTACCTCTCCTTCCTTTCTCTCTCCTTTCCTCCATTTCTTCCTTTCATCCTTTCTCTCTTCCTCCCTAAAAATTTACTTTAAAATTTCTTCCTTATTCCATTTCCAAAACCCCTACTCAGTGACAGGCAGCAGCAGACAAGAAGAAACTCAACAATAAGAGCAAATCCAATAGTGAAACTGGAATGAAATGACAGCCATTAACCTGGTATCAGGAAGGACAGTAAAACTGCAGCATGGCAGGAGCCAGCAGGCCTCAACTCGTAACTTTTCTTTCTGATTAAAACACACTGGTCACACATTAACTTCCTCTGCTCAATATTTTATTGTCTCACTTGCACTGGAAGGCAGGGGGAAGAGGGGTGGGCAGGAGTCAGGATCTGCAGCTTGGCTGCAGCTCGGCAGCCTTTGGCAGGTGCCATGGACAAGGACACTCAGCCAAAGGGAATGAACCTGCACCCAGCAGTTACCCTCTGCCATGAAGTGCTCATGCCAAATAATGTCTGTCCACCATGTGCCTCCCAAACTGGCATCCCAGGGCTCAACCATAGCCACAGAAGGAGTCAGTGTCAGAGCTGGGGGTACCATGGGTCTCTCAAACATGCAGGGCAGGCACAATGATGGGCACAGCCACTGCCACAACCCAGGCAAGGACATTGGCTCATTTCAGTGGAGACAAAGCTCCAGGAGCTTTGGGAAAGCCACATCCCGTGGAAGATTGACCAATTTCTTTCAGTGGGATCAGAAAATGGGACAAAAATGAAAGTAAATTCCTGGCCACACCCCCTCAAGCATCTCTGTACATCTGGATCCCCCACTGGGTGTATCCCTTGCTTTGGGCAGAGCACATCTTGTGCCAGCCCAGTGCAGCAGCATTCTGCCCCTTTCCTCATCCCTCACAGACCCATCAGTGCACCACAGAGGGTGCAAACACCTCTATGGGACCCCAGTGGATTTTAACTCATTAATTCCATGCTCAAGCTCCTCTCACTCTCCCCACCACCTGCCCTGTTCATTCTTCCAGAGCAGCTCAGGGCAGCAATTGCAGAAGATGTTTCTGCCCTCATGCTGGGAGATGGAGACTCAGGACAAGGATGACCCAGTCACAGAGATACTTCTCCCAGGATTTCCAACAGCTCCCCTGGAGAAATGAAACAGCATCAAGGAATGTCCTCATGGGGATCCCCAATGGGCCTCAGCTGCCCTTTGATGCTCCCAGGTCAAGAACAACAGCTGGTACTCTGCAAGCCTTTCACTCCCTCATCCCTCACCAGGAGGACTTTTTAAATCTCTTGCAATAAATCACTGATTAATTACAACTAGATTGCAACTACCACACTATAAAAGGCTTGGGGCTTTACAGCACACCAGTGGTAGTTCCTATGAATTGCAATACCTTTCCATCCCCAGCAGCTCCCTTTGCACCACCCTGATGCCTCCCTGTGCCATGGAAAAGGCTCATTGCTCCCTTCCAGCCTTTCACAAGCTAAAAGTATGAGGGCAAGAGGAGGTTGGAGCTGTTGTGAGGAAGTGGGAAGCTCAGCATGACCAAGGTCAAGCTTTCAGACCTGGGTGTACTCCCTCCTCTTCCTCCTCTAACTGCTGCTTTCTCCCTGTTTCAGATTTTGGGTTGATGGGGAGGCGATTTTGTTTTAACTAAAAAAAAACAAAAACAAAAAAAAAAAACAAAAAAAAAAAAAAAAAAAAAAAAAAACCTAATTCTCAAGCCATCTCTAGAGATTTTTTTAGCAGCAGATAAACTTGAGCAGCTGGTACCTGCAGCATGGGGCACCCTGGTACGGGCACCAGCCCTCCTGAGCACGCACTGCCTCCCCAGCCTCCATCCTAAATCACAACACAACAAACAGGCTGTTCATTAGGCGCTGTTTAATTAAGCAATATGGATCCTGCCTCGATATTTACAATCCCACTTGCCCTGATTTACTGGAGAGAGTCTCGTTTTTAGAGACGGCGACTGTAAAGTTTAATACCGCTTGACTCAACTGCGCGTTTCATTTACGGCCGCGGGCCGAGGCGCGGCAGCCGGGGCTGGGAGCCGCCGGGCCATTAAATCAGAGCTAACTGCCCGAGCAGGGAGATGACGAGCTTCGTTACAACCGGTTCAGCGCCTAATTACCCCGAGCTGCATTGCCACACTTAAGTCAATTTGTTGCCGCTTTCCCAGGACCCTGGAGAACAAGTGGGGAAGTTGGAGCAGAGGCACTTGTTGCAATGGGAAGGGCTCGCCATCGGGATGGCGGCAGAGATCAAACAGACTCTGTTTGTCCCAGGAGGGGAGAAATCAGTTTTGCAAGAGGCCAGATTCCCAGCTGGCAGCCCCGATGCCCTGGTGAGGGATGCTGTGTACAATGACAGGTCCAAGCTCAAGGGTCAGCCACCAGCTCCTCCCCATAGCCCCGGAGCACCTGGGGAGCACTGAGGTCAGGAGAGGGCAGTTTGTGGGCTCTGGGATGCGGCAATCAGGCAGAAAGACAGGACCAGCATGGAGGAGGGCATCCAGCACCACACAGGCCAGGAGGCCCTTCCATCTGTCCTAGCCCCATGGGGGAGTGATGCACGGATGGGGCACAGGGAACACAGCCTTCCCCATGAACTGTTGTCTTGGAGGCAGGAGGAGAGCATTCCTCTCCTTGCAAGGTATTTCTAGACCTCAGGAGCACACTCACAGACTGGACAAGGAGAGGGGTCTCATTAGAGAGTTGTGAGAATGGCTCATCAGTGACAAATGAAAACTATTTGTGAAGACGTGAGGGTTCCCCCCCACATCAGCTGTGGTGGCATCACTGTCCATCACCTACCCCTGCAGAGTCCCAGGGCTTTCCTGGAGGGAAAGGGAGGAGAACAAAGACAGAGGTGAATAGAATATCCCCCAGCCCAGTGTCCAGACTACCACTATCCCACCCCATGGGTGGGCACAGTGAAGGGGGGAGCAGCACCAGGAAGAGAGCTGGACTCCCTGGGAGGCCCCAGGTGAGTGATGAACCAGCCGCCGGCTGCATCCCAGCAGCCCCTGTATCTGCAGCAGGCAGCATGAGGACCCAGCAGTCCCAGCCAGAGAGGATGAGGAGAAACAGCTCCAGGGCTGAGCATCTCAGCCAGCAGCCTCCGTGCAGCAAGTCTGCCAGGGCTCAGCCCTCTTCCAGGAGCTGGCTACGCCTTGGGCTGCATCCATTCTTCCTGTTTCCCAGTCCTCCACAAGCACTCAGAGACAGACTCAGAGCTCCCCCCAGGGAAGAAGAGGAGGCAGCGCAGAGGCAGGGACAGAAGCAACAGGTATGGGGCTGCCAGCACAACCCGAGCCCCGTGTTACCCCACACCAGCAGCTGGGGATCTTCACCAGAAACCCCAAACCTCCCCCCTAGGGCTGAGAGCCACGAGAGCACACGTAGAGGCACTTTGCTTCAAGGTTTTATTGAACAGGAGGGTTGTGCCCCTCCATGGGGCAGAAAAAATCCCAGTCCCACCAGTGAGACTGGACTGGTAAGGAGAGTAAACGCTTTAGTAGTGGTAGGAACATACTGTGGGGGTAGAAAACAGACCCTGGGATGGTGAAAGAGACAAGGAACACCACCTACAGAAGGATACCACAGGATTAGGCCCTGAGTCCCCAAACAGGCAAAACCAGTCCCAAAAACCAGCCAAGTCGTGACAAGGTTCAGGAGAACCTGGGAGCTCAGAGGGTTCACAACTGACATGAATTCCCAGACCTCAGTTCTCACCACTCCCAGCTGACCCGTGGCAGAGCACACTGAGCACACCAAATGATGCAATCTTAAACCTCTACTCTTAGTGCACCACTGTGAAGCCCACCACTAAACCACGTCCCTAAGTGCCACATTTACACATTTTTTTGAATACTTCCAGGCAACAGTGATTCCACCACTTCCATGGGCAGCCTGTTCCAATGTCTGACCGCCCTTTCAGTGAAGAAACATTCCCCAACATCCAATCTAAACCTCCCCTAACACAACTTCAGGCTGCTCCCTCTTGTCCTATCATTAGTTATCTGGGAGAAAAGGCTAACCCCCACTTGGCTACGCCTTTCAGGTAGTGGTGGGGAGCAATAAGATCCCCCCTCACACTCACACCTGAGGACTGGCTGCTCTGATGCTCCCCATCACAGCTCCTCAGCCCTCTTCTTGTAGTGCACCTCGGGGAGGTTCTTCAGGCGCTCGGCTGCCTGCAGGGCACAGCACAAGGGACAGCCAGGGGCTGCTCCCAGGGACAGCCCAGGCACACAACCCCCTGGGTGCCCCAATCCCCCTGAGCTGCACTCACCTGCTCCGGGGTGAGGTCCCTCTGCGCCTGCGCCAGCATCTCGTATCCCACCATGAACTTGCGGACGGTGGCGGAGCGCAGCAGCGGAGGGTAGTAGTGGGCATGGAGCTGCCAGTGCCTGCAGTCCTCCTCCAGGTAGGGTCCTGTGGGGGCTCCTGCAGGGAACAGAGGCACTGCATGAGCCGCAGGGAGGAGACAGGGATGTGGATGAGAGGATTGCAGAGCCATGCCACTCACCGTGCCAGCCCATGGAGTATGGGAAGGAGACTTCGAAGAGGTTGTCGTACTTGATGAGCAGCCTCTGCATGATGGAGGCCAGGCCTGCAGGAAAGTGGCAGTGATTCACACCCCGAGCTGGCCAGCAGCGTGCCACGTGTGCAGTGGAGGCACCTGCAGCACCTCTCCCTGGGTGGACATCAGTGACAGGCAGGAGGGATGCGCTTGGGAATTCCCTCCCCTCACACAGGGAGCCTGAGCAATGCAGCAGGAGAAGCCTCCCACCAAAGCAGGGAGCACCATGTGCTTCATCACCCCAAAAGGACACGAGTGCCACCAGCAGTGCTGACTGTGCCCAAACAACTAGTTCCTACCCTAACAAAACAGAGGAGCCATTCCCCTCCTCAGCTAAGCTCGGCAGCCCCCACCCCCAGGACATAAGCCCTCCAGCACCAGCATGGCTGCCTCATAACAAAGGTCAAACCCAAAGGATGTGGGATGGGGTACAACAAAGCTCAGAGCCACTCACTGTCCTTCTCACTGTCACTGAGGTCCTGGAGGCGGCAGACATGGCGGCGGGGCAGCAGCAGGGTCTGGTAGGGCCAGGTAGCCCAGTATGGCACCACGACCAGCCAGTCTGCATTCTCCACCACCAGCCGTTCCTGCCGGGCACAGAATCATAGAGTCAGCTAGGCTGGAAATGACTTCTGAGATCACCAAGTCCAACCTATGATCTAACACCACCTGATCAACTAAACCACAGCCCTGAGTGCCACACCCAGTCTTTTTTACTCTGCCGCCTCCCTGGGCAGCCCATTCCAATGCCCAATCACTCTTTCAGTGAAGAATTTTTCCTAATGTCTAGCCTGAAGTTCCCTGGCACAGCTTCAGACTGTGTTGTCTTGTCCTGTCACTGGTTGCCTGGCAGAAGAGACCAATCCCCCACTGACTAAAACCTCCTTTCGGGGAGTAGCAGAGTGGTAAGGTCTCCCCTAAGCCTCCTCTTTTTCCAGGTTAAACACCCCCAGTTCCCTCAGCTGTTCTTCACAGGGCTTGTATTCCAGATCTTTCACCAGCCTTGCTGCCTTTGACCAGATGAATTTGAGTGTCTCAACATCCATCCTAAACTGGGGGCCCAGAACTGGACACAGTATTTAAGGTGGAGCCTCACAAGTGCCAAGTACGGGAGAAGAATGACTTCCCTGCTCCTGCTGGCCACACTGTTCCTGATACAGGCCAGGTGCCATTGACCTTCTCGGCCACTTGGGCACTGCTGGTTCATGTTCAGTCAGCTGCCAACCAGCACCCCCACATCCCTTTCTGTCTGGCCACTGTCCAGCCACTCTGTACCCAGCCTGTAGCACCGCAGGCAGGCGGTACACGCAGTGTTTGATGGGGACAGACAAAGTCCCAACTCCCCAGGGCACTCCTAGGGCCCAGCTCCTGGGGGCTGGGGACCCCACCCCAGCACACAACCAGCTCCCAGGGAGGGGGTATGGACAACATCTATGCCTTCACCTTTCGGCGAGCCTCCTGCTCCGCATACTCCAGCAGCATGGGCACGCCGTGCTGGCTCAGGTGCTGGCGCTGGGTCCGGTCCTCCAGGCGCGCCTCGTTCGGGAGGAAGCTGCTGGCCCACACCTGCGAGGGACATCGGGGCACAGGACTGAGGTGCTCGTACCCCTCACTTGCAGGGGCACCCCTAGTCACGCTGCTCATCTGGAGGTCCCTGCTGCCACCAGGTGGAGAGTCTGGCATGTGACAGCCACAAGGGACAGTCCCCAGAGGGAGGGTGACAGGACAGACACAGGGGTATCCTCACTGCAAAAAGCTTCGGGACAAGGGCAGGGCGACTGCCGTTCACATCTGCCCTCAGGGTTTGTTGTAGAGTCACCACAGGGACTTGTAGTTTAGCCAGGTCACAGGTGGGACAGCCTCACCTGGCAGTGGGGGTGCGGGTTGGAGCAGCCCATCATGGCTCCCTTGTTCTCGAAGATCTACGAGAAGAGGAAGAGGTGCAGCCAGCAGGTCCCAGCCACAGGGCCCCCACTGCAGGCTGTCGTGGTGTCCCCAGCAGAGCAGGGGACAGAGCTTCACACCCACGTGGAAAGGCTCAGCAGGGCACAAAGGCTCAAAGAGTACAAAGGACACAAAGGAAGAGACCCACGCACAACTAGGACGCTCCCAACCCCAAGTACTGCTGAAGTACCCAGTGCTGACCTCCCACCGTCACCCACAAAAGAGCAGCCCCCACTAGCCCCACACCTGCACCCAGGGGTAGGAAGCACCCAGCTCCGTCGCCAGCTCTGCCCACGCATCGATGACAGCCCGGATCTCTGGCAGGGACATGAGGGGCAGCGTCAGGTCCGACCAGGGGTGGAAACACATCACCTTGCTGTAGAGGAAACACGCTTAGCTGCGACTGCAGGAGTCCCCAGAGACCCTCGCAGTTTTGCTGGGTGCAGTGGGGCAAGGGACAGGGCCAAAACCCCCAGAATGACCCCAAAACTGAGCAGGTGTGTACAGTACAGGCACTGCATGAGGGGAGCAGGCCCAGCTCAGCACTATTCCACAGGCTCTTGACAAATTGTATCCCAAAGCCGCTGGAGCCATGTAGGTACTTACCACACACCCCGGGCTGCAGCAGCTTGAAACAAGGGGTGATCACTGTCATCTGGGGAAGGACAGAGAGTGGGCAGGGAGAAGGCGCTGAGGCAGAACCCAAGCCTCTCCAGGACCCAAGTTGGGGGGTGCCCGGCAACCTACTCCACTCCCCAAAGTTACCAGGCTCTGGAGCATCAGGCTGCAGTGCAGGGAAGTCATTTGGGAAGACGAAAGTACCCTCGTACTTGGGGTTCACCTGCCGGGGTGAGAGATGGCATGAAGGCAGGAGGGGGCGGCAGGGGCAGCCCGGCTCCCTGTGTCCCTGCTGGTACCTCGCCGTTGGCCCGGGTGGCCCCAGGGCAGAGCGGGTTCTTGGGGTCCCAGCGGGGCACATCCTCGGGGGGCGGCTTCTCAACCTGGCCCTGCCAAGGGCGCTTGACCCGGTGGGCCGACACCAGCACCCAGTCGTCCCTCAGCGGGTTGTACCGGACGTGCTGGTGCTCTGAGGGGAGGGAGAGCAGCGGGGCCTCAGGCGCAGAGCTCCCACAGGGGCGGCCCAGGCACCCCAGCCGCCCCTCAGGGGACACGCTCCCTCAGGGGACAAGCAGGACGGTCTGCCTTATGCACGCCGCTTGGTGCCCTCCCTCAGCTTCACCCCTTCCTCCCTGTCCCAGCCCAGGAGCCCCGCTGCTCTGGGCAGGGAAGGTCCCCGCAGCTCCCGCTTGCCGGGATCGTGCTGGGCCCCGCCGGGGCTCTGAAGGGAAGGATGGAGGAAGGCGACCCAATCCGTACCGCTGGCGCGGAAACGGCCGCCCCCCTCCGCCGCCCCGGCCAGCGATGGCTCCATGCCTCCCCAATCCCGGAAAACCGGCGGGATCGGCCCCTTCCAGCCTCCCGCCCCGCCCCACCGCGCCGGCGCAGCCGCCCGGGCCGTGCGTGGCGTGGCCGCGGCGGGGGCGGTCCCGGGCGGGCGCTGCGGGCCGGGCTGGCGCTGGGCGCGCTGGCGCTGGTGCTGCAGGGGCTGCGCGGGTGGCTGGCGGCCAAGCGGTACGAGTTCAGCTCCGCCGAGATCGCACAGCTCGCCCGGCACCACGCGGGTACGCGCCGCCCGTGGGGACGCGGAGGGGCGGCGGGGAGCGGGGCCGAGGAGGGATGGCCGTGGGGATGGGGTTAGGCAAGGGGGTGGGGATGGAGAGAGGAGCGGGGGACGCGGCGGGGAGCGGCGGCCTGGGCTGGAGCGGGGAGCCGTAGCGGGGACGAAGGACCGAGGAGAATTCGGTACAGGGGGGCCGGGATCATGGTGGGAATGGGGCTGGGGTCAGGGAGGGGCAGGGAGCTGGATCTGGGCAGCAGGACTGGGAGAGGGAGGGGGTCGGTACCGGGGAACAGCAACAGGGAACGCAGGGAAAGCAGGGTGGAAAATGGGAGTGGAGCAAAGGAGCGACGGGGACCAGGGCAGCGGCATCATCCAAGCTGGTTGGGGCTGAAGCCCCAGGTGGGTCAGCCTGGGGCTCCAGAAGGAAGCTGTCCCCACAGGGCACAGGGAGTTTGGTCGGGGCTGCATGACACCAGGACAGCGGCACTGTCACGTTGTTTGGATCTCCCACATTGCCCAACACCTGGGATGGGCTGTAGGACTGGAGCGCTCAGTGCTGCTTATCCTCCGTCACCATCCAGAGAGGCAGTGGAGCTGGGTCAGCGGGAGCTGAGGGCTGGAGAAAGGAGATATCTTCCCTAGGCAGACCTCTCCAAGGGAGTGCTGAAACCCTATGGCTGTGCAGGGGATTTGGGGGGTTGGTCGGCTGAGCTTTTCCTGTGCCAGGGACTTACAGTGACCCTGCGTGCTGCAGGGCTGGACCATGAGCTGGCTTTCTCCAAGATCATTGTGGAGCTGCGAAAGAAGCACCCAGGGCACATCCTGCCAGACGAGGACCTGCAGTGGGTGTTTGTGAATGCGGGAGGGTGGATGGGCTCCATGTGCCTGCTCCATGCCTCGCTCACCGAGTACGTGCTGCTCTTCGGGACAGCTATCGACACCGGGGGACACTCAGGTAAGCAGGGGGACCGAGCTGCTGGCAGGGGATTTCTCCAAGCTATGTCTACACCACTCTTGCAGGTGCAGCTGGCCATGGTGTGCCCTGCACAGGGAGCCCACTGCTTCACTACTTGTATGGGGTGAATGATGCTGGCCAAACACTCCCTGCAAGGGGACCAGCCCCCATGGTGTCCTGCAGCATCTGCAGGTCCCTGTGTGTGACATGCTGTGTGGCCAGGACTCTCTGCATCCAGCTGGCAGGCGATGGCAGACATCTCATCTCCCAGTGCTTCGGGAGGGAGCAAATGCCAAAGGAGTTGGAAATAATGAGGCTTAAGGACACCAAGCAGCCCTGGCTGGTGGTGTATGGCTCTTCATACATACAGTGAGGGTACCAGAGCTGTTGGCACTTCTTGGTGTATTGAGATAGTGGAGCTGCCATCCTGACCCTCCTGCTCCACGATTCAGAGCTGGGCTCCTGTGCTGTCCCTGGCAGGGAGACGCTGAGCCAGTGTTGTCTGTCCTGCCACAGGTCGCTACTGGGCAGATATTTCTGACACCGTCATCTCGGGGACATTCCGGCAATGGAAGGAGGGGACCACCAGAAGTGAGATCTACTATCCAGGTAAGTGCGGCAGTATGGTGACCAGCGAACTGCATCTATGTCCTTGGGGCACAGGCACTTGCTGTCACAGAGGCCCTTCCTTTGAGCTGACAGAAGCCAAGAGCTCGGGTTAGAGCAGTTTGGGTCCCCAGTGGCACATCCCAGCATCTCAGTGGGTGGCAGTAAGAGAAAAGGGAGCAAGGCTGGGGTGGGGTTTGAAGGCTCAACCCTGCAGGCCGTAATCCCATGTCTCCCATTTGGGTGTGGTGTGGGGCAGCCACTGGGAGCCATGCTGGTTGTGTGTTTTGGCAGGTGACACCATCGTGCACCAGGCGGGAGAGGCCACGTCAGTGCAGTGGAGTGCAGGCACCTGGATGGTGGAGTACGGCCGGGGCTTCATCCCCTCCACACTCGCCTTCGCCCTGGCTGACACCCTCTTCAGCACTCAGGACTTCGTCACCCTCTTCTACACCCTGCGTGTCTACGCAAAGGGCCTGCTCCTGGAAGCAAATGCCTTCTTCAGCACCTTTGGGTGCTGAGCCCGTCTCACCAGGGCACCCTGCTGAGCCCAGTTGGCTCCTTTCCTCCCAGTCGTTTCCTCTTCCTCCCCAAGCCCAGGTTCTAGCAGAGGCAGCAGGAGATCCCCTGTGCCTTCCCCAAATTGTTCTGTCCTTTCCCCGCAGGCCAACAGGGTGCCAGGACAGAGGGACCTTGGCAGTCACAGCAACACAGAACGTCAGTTCTCTTTACTGCCTGCCCGTTCCTCCTTTCTATCGGAGTCACGTCCTGCTTTTCCATCCTTCGGGGCTGGAGTGGCCTTGCAGTGTACAAACACCCCTGTGTGCCCTCAGCATGCAGCGGGAGAGAAGCTGGAGCTGGCTGTCCCCGGGCCCTGAAAGATTTCCTCAGCTCCTGAGACGTCAGGGGAGTGATGCTGCCCTCGGGGCAGGGTGCACAGGGTAGACCAGACCAGAGCACCCGTTGCAGAGGTCGGCCACTCAGTCCCCCATGTCTCTGGCAGCCTGCCGGGACTGCGGGCAGCGCAAAGTGCTGTGTCCAGCTGGCAGCGTCTCCCGTGGCTCCATCCCTGCTGATGTGGGTTGGCAGCACACACTGTCACCCTGGCACAGGGCAGGATCTGTGCTGAGACCCCCTGGCAGTGGGGAGATGCCCAGCTTCTGTGCTGGAGAGCCCCCTGCTCCCCTGTGTGTCATCTGCCCTGAGGGGGGCTGGAAGAGGGTCACTTCCCCATAGTCCTCTCCAGGCAATGCCCCCCAAGGGGGAAACCCACCGTCTGTCGCCTTAATGGAGACCCCGTTCTGCGTGGCCTCTTGGCTATGCAGGCACCTAGTGTTCTCGAGTGCCCAAATGTCTGTACTAGCTCAGGATGGGATCTCGCCCCTCAAAACGCTTCCCCTGGCTGTGAGACCCCCCTGGGGACAGCCACTCTGCTCGGCTCCCGGCATGGGATCCCGGCTGCCAGGAGAGTGCTGTAATCTCCAACCAAACCCAGATGTGCACCCTGCTTGCACCCCTGTGGTCAGACCCGTGTGAGCTCACTGCTTAGTGGAGGGCTTTCACCTCCATTCTGCTGCCAAACACACGAGTGTGTTCTGGCCACCCAGGCCTGTAGCATGTTGATTCTCCTGCTCCCCACACTGTCCCTGTTCTGCTGACCAGCAGCCCTGCACACGGGCTAGTTCTTAATTTGCTACCTGAAAAGAGATACCAGTAATAAAGTTGTTCATCCCACATACTTGGGTTTCTGGATGAGTTTCTGGAGTGTGCTGAGCCCTGCCACGGTGAAGGCCAGCTCCAGCCTCAGCAGCAGTCCTGCTGACAGCTGGGTGTCCCCAGGGAAGCTGGTATTGTCCCACTCAAGGTCCTGGGAGCTGGGTGTGCGTCACTGGGCAGGATCAGCCCTGCCTCAGCTGCCGGGGATTGGCAGAAGATGGTGCTGTTACTCCTCTCGCCGCTGCAGTCACTGGTGACCAAAAGTCTGGGCTGGTGGCAGGTCCCTGCTTCCATGGGCAATCCCAGAGCTCAGGGGGCTCCATCCTTTTGAGGGACAGTGGCAGTGCTGAGTCTGTGGCCCCCCAAGGATGGTTGGACCCATACAGAGTGGGTGGTTTTGAGAGGTTTGCACACATACACATAGGTGCATACACATGCTGTCAGACACATCATGTGTGTGTATGTGTTCACAGATTGTGTGTGCATGTAGGTAGAATAGTTTTCAGGTGGGTGTGGATACAATGGGTGGGCCTGGCACACACATTTATAAATGGCATCACATTTATAAACAGGCATTTCTCACACATTTATAAACAGGCATCTCTCCATACAGAGCAACTGCAGGTGTGTGAGTGCTGGGGTACATGTGGGTATGACACATGCGCATGGGTGTAGTCAGGAGAGTTCTGTTTCTCTGTGGTGTGTGGTGTGTGTCCAGGCAGGTGACACGCGTGTGTCACACCTGTGTGTGTGCACAGCCTGCAGTGCACACGGCAGCAGGCATGCACCCGTGTGCTCATGGACAGGCGGGCTGTGTTTGTGTGTGTGTGCACGCATGGGCAGGCTCTGTCTGTGCACCTGTGCATGTTCCTGTGGGCTACCAGGCTTCCCTGGCCCGCACCAGGCCTGTTCCCTGGGGTTTGGCAGGGCCCCGTCGGGGAACACGAGCAGTCCCACCCGAGCTGGCCCGCGCGGCAAGGCGCTAACTCAGCAGCTCGTATCAATACCGCTCCACTTACAGCGAAGGCCGCGTAATGAAAATCCAATGGGCACGCTGGTGGGAGTAAATAAGTATGCCATTAAAATAAGAAAATCAAAGCTCTGGACAGGTCTTTTCTCTTGCCCATTGATTTCTTTTATTACGGAAATATTGCTGCTAAATAACATTAGTGTGAACAATCTCAGCAGTGTTTTCTGTAGCGCCCGTGTCAATAACTCCACACTGGGCGGGGGATTCCCCCCCAGCCTGGCTGCAGGGCCAGCAGCCCTGTCCATGCAAAAGGCTGCTCTGGGGGTTCCTTCCTCAGCATTCCCAGCTCAGCTGGCATGAAGAAAGAAACCATGACAAGCGGAGAAACCAGGTAGCATGGGGTAGCTCAGGCAAATGCCAGCAGAGTAGAGCTGGGCTTAGACCGAGGTACCCTGGCTGCTCTGCTGCAGCAGGAGGGGTTGTCCCCATCCCAGCAGAGCACTGAGTGCCAGGCATTCATTTAAGGATCACAAAAAGCATCCCTTTCATGGCTGCAACCTCTTCGTCAAGTGTCTCAAATGACCAGCAGAGAAGAAGAGTTCTGGACACAGCAAGTTCTGCAGGCTATTGGTGCCTCTGCCTTTTCTTCCCATGCCTCTTCATCCAAAGTCCATGATGGCCTGACACAGCTGCCTGCAGCATTTGATTCTCATGGAGAAACTGAGGAACAGGTTGGAAGCTCATCTGCAATCACCCAGCTGCAGCACAGCCCCTGTGCCAGGGCCAGGGCTTGCCCCTTTCTCCTTTGGCTGCCCAGGGACACAGCATCCTTCAAAATTCCCACAGCAGCAGGTACTCCTTGAAGAGACAGAAGATGTGACCAGGACACACAGGAAATATACACCTTTTGGTGTGTAGAGGCCAGATGGGACCCCAGGACACCTCAACGGGCACCAAACTACAGAGTGGCTGGAGATGGGCAAGGAGAGTGAGTCAGCCACGGGCACCTGCACCCTGGGTCTGACTCTATCCCTGTCCCAACTGAAGCAACCACGAGGGGCATCTCCCCAGAGCTGTCACCAGGACAAATGCAGATCGCTGCCCTCCTAACACCTTCCCCCTGCTACTTGCTTTATCTTGCTGTCCCTCCACATGCAGTGGGTATTGATCAGCCCTCAGGATCTATCTCTCGATTCCTCCTGCGGTATCTCTCTGCTCCAAGTATCTCTCACTCTGCTCTGCTGTCTGCTGTGCCCGTCTATACCTCCACTATCTATCTGCGCCGCCTCAGCTGCAGCCATCAATAGCCATTTGGGGAATTTCTCTCCAGCTGGGAGCATCACCAGACCCCATTGGTGCAAAATGCTGAGTGGTGGGGCAAAGGGGACACGGTCCTGCTTGCTTGCCCTAAGGAGAGCCTGACATACTTCATGACACACGTGCAGAACCCTAGAGCTGCTGTTATCACTGTGCAGGTTCTAGAGAAGAGCTGAGTAGGACAGGTCCCTTGGTGGCCATGCCCAAGGCAATGGGACACGCTGCACCCTTTGGAGACCTTGGTGTTGCCACTAGCTGGCCTGGGTGCTAAACTGACCCAAGCACCCCAACCCCTCTGCCTTGCAGAAGGGGAGCTTCCCCAAACACTTGGGCTCCTGTTGGGCCACAGAGAAGTCACCACGTCTGTCTCACTCCACCCAGCCCAGCTTTCAGTGTACAGGGGATAAGGCACAGCCCAGAGCAGAGGGTGCAGCACACTGGGGTGCAAGGCAGCAGCACTGGGAGGGGAAGCTGGAACCATGTGGCATGGGGTCCTGTGCAATGAGTCCTGAGTGTCATGTGGCCCTGTGGATCCTTCTGAAATAGGGCCAAGTCTCATCTTCCCACTGGCAATTCAACAAGAGTGCCACTCTGACTGGCACTCAGAGGGGCTGGCAAGCACCAGGAGGTCCCTGCCTCTGCCGCAGCGGGATGGGATGGGCCAGTACAAGCTACAGCTGTCCAGCCCTGAAATAGGATGGCCGACAGCTAATTTATCTCCTGTGCAAAGATAAACAGCGCCTGGGGGCCCTGCAGGGTCGGGAGCTGCCCTGTGCTCCCAGGGAATGGTCTGATTTTTCCAGGAGAGCCTCCCTGGTGAGCATGGTGCACTATGTCACAGGCAGCTGAGGTGCCAGGAGCTTAAGGAGCCTTGAGAGTCACCAGAGCCATGGCAGGACACAGGGTAGCTTCTCAGGAGATGTTCAAAGGGAAACTGGAGAGCACAGAAGCAGCAGCTTTTCCCCAGAGGAAAGTGTTGAAGGGGACAGAGCTGGGCCATAGAGCCTGAGAGCAAAGTCAGCTCCTGCCATCAGCATGGCCAGTGGCTGTTTTTCCACAAGATGCTTCAAGGGCAGTCAGCGTGACTTGGCTCATGCTGACTGCCCCTGGCCCCTGCAGGGGGGTCATGGAGGGGACAGAGCTACCAGCCCTTACCACCCAACCTCTTGTCATCCCATGCCACCAAAAGCCAGTGCAGCATTAAGAAGTCTCAGTGACAAACTGCTCTGGCTGTGAGATGGAATCAAAGCCACTGCCGCTTGCGGACCAGTGTTGTGGGGCAATGCTGCTCCCCCAGGCATCCATGTGAATCCTAAGCTGCCGTGGCCAAAAAAAGCCCAAGAGCAGGTGCCTCCTTTGCCTCCTGGCTAAGTTGCCTCCATAGAAAAAGGCGTCAGGAAAATCTGGCAGACAGGCAGGTGGAGGGAGAATAAGGAAACGGGGGATGCTGCCAGCGGGCAGCACCCAAGGCAGAGAGGTGCCATGCTCTCACCTCATCTTACATCCTTGTCTGACATCTGGAGACACACTTGATGATACCCTGGTGCCACAGCTTACCCCACTGCAAGCAGGGACACAGGGCAAGCCAGGAGCATTGAGCCACTCCAGTGAGAGAGACACATGGCTTTGTTCTACCCGTGCCAGAAAGCCTCTTTGGCATCCAGGCCACATTACAATCTGAACCCTTCAGCCAGGGGCCAAGCACCCACAGCACCTGCCATAAAGATCCCCTCAAAGTCCCACTGAGGGTCATGGGTCACACTGCTGTGGTACCCCAGCCCTTGAGGACAGAGCTCAGGGTTCAGCACTTGGAGCTTGCCCCAGGCACCCCTTTGTGCCTGCACATGGGTTGGCAGCGTGAGCACACACACCCACCTCCCCCAAAAAAGCACGTGTGCACACTCCTGCCCCTCCTACCCCCCCTCAACAGAGATTGCACAAACCAACAGGTGAACACAGGAACCACACACACCCAAGTTCCCCACTGACACATATAGGACATTTATTATTGTCCCCAAGAGCAAACACACACGTGTGTGCACCCACTGCAGGCGCTCAGCCCCTCTGACAGCGCACATGGCTTCGCACACGTGTGTGCATGGTTACTGCTCCAGGTGATGGACACCCGAGCTCCACACGCAGCCCCAGGGCGTACACACCCCTTAAACGCCGGGCACACTCCTGTTGGTGTCTGGGGGCTCGCACACGTTCAGTGCACTCACTTCTCCCACTGCGCCCAGGCACAGGGGTGCTCAGACACCCCGCACACACACGTGTGGGGGAGGCTCATCCATCCCTCTGTAACACGCAGGCAATGAGCACACACACACACACACACACAGGCACACATAGAGACACTCACCTTCTCCCAGCACACACACACAGACAGCCCCCCTAAAAGGCGTGCGATGCGTGCAGCACCCTCACACACCCCTCCCTCCTTCACACTCCTCACACATCTGCGTGTGCACAGCCTGCACACTCTCCCATGCACTCCCCTCGTCCAGCACCCACACATGGGCACAGACCGGGGGTCTCCCATCCCGCTGCGCCCCCGGCCCGGGTCCGGGAGCCCCGGTGGCCCCGCGCAGGGCGGCCCCGGGCCGGCTGCCGGCGGGGCGATCCCCCGGGGCTGCCGTAAGCCCGGCCCTCCCCGGGTGACTCCCTAGACGTGCGCTAGCAAATGGGAGCGGGGAGGGGTGTTGCTGTCTGACTGCCACTTGTTGCAAAAAAAA